AAAAAATGGTATCAGTGTCACGTCCGCTCTCAGCCCGTGTCGTGTGCAATAGAACGTCACGATTTGGACATAAAGACCCACTGATGTTTCTGAGAGTATCTGGCACGACCACACATGGTTGAACTAGCATAAGGTTGACCCATGAGAAGTTCATTTTTGCGATGTAGTTTGTTGTTCGCCTGTGACGTCACTGATCTCAGTGACGTCACGGGCTTTAACCAATCACCGAAATGCGATCAAACCAGTCAACCAATCCGTCATGGGAATGACGGGTTTGTTTACGTTTCTTGATCTCAGTGACGTAACAAGAAAGCTGAACTGAAAGGCGGATATCCTCGTGGGTCAACCTTATATATTTCAACCATGGGTCCAAGGGTTGGGAATCACACTCTGGAGCTAGGAGGGCCTCTCCTAGCTCCGTCCGAGCCATAGGCCCATAGCATAAAGTGGGCATTGTAGTAGAAAGTGCACTATTGAGTCTATTTCCCCACATCATCACGGTTGAATTATATAGTTCAACCGTGGGTCAACCTTATATAGTTCAACCATGGGTCAACCTTATATAGTTCAACCAAGGGTCAACCTTATATAGTTCAACCAAAGGTCAACCTTATATAGTCCAACCATGGGTCAACCTTATATAGTTCAACCATGGGTCAACCTTATATAGTTCAACCATGGGTCAACCTTATATAGTTCAACCACGGGTCAACCTTATATAGTTCAACCGTGGGTCAACCTTATATAGTTCAACCGTGGGTCCACACACCCCGGTATGGTCTGGAGGGCCGGTCTGGTGCCCCGTAGGCTGGGCGACGATGCGCCGCTGCAAGGCATCAGTAATCACGGGCTCCAGCTCCTGCAAAGCAGTACGAGTCACGGGGGTGCCCCAGCTGCCCGCGTCCCGGGTCACGGGCGAGTCCCAACTACCCGCATCATGTGTCACGGGGGATCCCCAGCTGCCCGTGTCCCCGAACACGGGGTGGTACAGCACCTCGCCTGTACGGGCGAAATATATTGATCATTAAATCAAACCACAGGGATTTATTATAATCAGCATAGTTATTAACTTGAGTCATGGGGAGCAGTGGATTGATCTTTAAACGAATTAAAATAAAGGAATTTTAACAATTATCATTTCTCATAATCATTGTTATTAACGAACTATTTCACAATCACCAAGTGATTTTATTTAAACGAATTCAAATAAAGGAATTATAAGAATTATCATTTATCACAATCATCCTTATTAACGTAACACTATTTCGCAATCACCAAATGATTTTATTGATGTTATTAATTACTAATTACCTGATCGATGCAAGACCACCGAAGTGATGCCAGCCAGCGGAGTGTAGTGATGTAAGATGTCATGCAGCAGCACAGACAACGAGACGTCCACCCCCACCACACCACACGCGGCATCACCAACACCACACGGCACTGCACCACTCACTGACACCACAACTCCTGCCGCAAAAATAAAATCATTAAAAAACATAATCATTTAAACCGAATCAATTAAGTCGTACTCTGGATAAAGTTTAAAAGACTAATACCTCACGTCAAAGGCCTCATATTTGTAACCATTCATAGCTCTTCAACATTAGCTCTACACGTTCAATTAGCTCTACATTAGCTGTACGTAGCTCTACAACATTCGCAGCTCTATCAACATTAACCTCCCCACCACTCACTCCCTCTCTATAACCATACCCCCGCCATCGCCCCCCCACCTTGCCCGTGGGCGTCCCAGTGCGGGGTGGACAACCGCACGGCGGTGGAGTAGTCGAGGGGCGGGGGCGCCGCCACGAAGCTCACTCGGCCCGGCGCCGCGGTCGCGGGCGGTTGTGTTGCGGTGCGCGCGTGCAGCTGCTCGGCTAGACCCGGCACAGTCTCCGGGTACAGCAAGTCGAATAGACGCAGCACAGCCGGTGACACAACCGACGTGTTCAGGCTGTGTGACTCCACGCCTAATGTATAATAAACCAATAAGAAGAGTTTCTTAATGAGGAATGATAATTAAGTACTATTTTACCGGATTACAAATCCTTTTGACTATTTTAAACTTAATTTTATTCAAATATTCGTCACATTAACATCGAATAACTTTGAACTTAATGAGAAATAAAAGGTCAAAAACTCAGCAAAAATATAAAGTAAAATCATGACATCTTTTCAACTTAAAACACTTCATCTAAAAGTTGTTTTGGACCTCGCAAATGCTCCAAAACTATCAATAAAATTGAAGAGAACAAAAAATACAGAGAGAAGTACGAATGAGATTTAAAATCAAGGAACACAAACCTGTTTTACCGAGCGGCGTGCGGGGGTGGTGGAGGGAGAGGGGGCACTCGGCGGCAGAGGGGGCGGGGGGGCGCTGCGGTCGCCCCGTGTCGGCGATGGCGACCAGACATCGCAGCAGCTGCTGTCGTCCGCGATACTCCCGACCTGCGATACAACACATCGAAATAATAACTACATAATAAGATTCATACTTATTCTAAATAATAATTTTAATCACCAACATTTGGCTTCATTTGCGAACCATTATTACTCAACTACATGATTTTGAATCATTAGAATCACAAACATTTTGCTTTCTTTCCGAAAAAATGCAAGCTAGCGTGACCTCTCACTTCTAAGGCCAGTCTCAGGCGACTAGCGTGTCCCTCACTTCTAAGGCCAGTCTCAGGCGACTAGCGTGTCCCTCACTTCTAAGGCCAGTCTCAGGCGACTAGCGCGTCCCCTCACTTCTAAGGTGACTAGCGTGACCCTCACTTCTCAGGTGGCGCAAGTCAGCAGCAAGCACGGCCAGTCTGAGGCGAGGGTACAGAGGGCCAGCAATGGGCGCGAGGGCACGGTGGGTGGCGGCGGCGGTGACGCGATCGTCCACGGCGCCGCTGGTGAAGTAGGCGACCACCACCGGCGCGTCGCCCGCCGTCCGCGCCACCGCCTCAAACGCACGCGCCAAACCTGCCGTGTGGTTCGTTGGCGAGGCTGGAAAGTACAAAGTTTTTATTACATTCTCAACACACATCTTGGGACCATTGCAAGACACATCTTAGAAACATTGCAGCAAACGTCTTAGGAACATCGAAACACACATAATAGATTTTTAAAATTTTAAAAATAATCAGAAAACAATCAATCAATCAGTGACATTAATATTTGTATGTGATCAAAATCTTTCAATTCATAGGACTCTTCAAGACGGTTATTGCAGGTCAATCTTTAATCAGGGAGAGATCAACTGAGATACATCTTGTGAAGTTTGGCAACAGCGTACATGATTAACGTCTCATCCCTAACAGCATGCTTTGATAATTTCATACATATAATTTTCTCAGAAAATATTTTTGTTGATTAAATTGGATTATTCAATCGATAGGTACCTAGAATACGTAGCCGTGACACAACAAAAATAAACCTATCCTTACATACATAATTGCTACATCTAAATTCTAATCATTAACTGAAGTTACATAAATCAATTAATTAGCAAAATATTCATACAAACTAGGAACACGAAAAGCGACATTTTCTGCTGAATTTCTCATATGAAACTCACATTTATCCAGGTTAAGTTTATCCAGGAATCTCAAGATGGAGGCAATGCGCTGCGAGGAAGCAGGTTGCAGGAGGTCAGGACATGGACGACCGTCAGGAGACCGCGGCACATCACTGATACTCAGAACTCCCACGTGGTCCTTTGGCGTGAGCGATGAGAGGATCAAACGAGCTGTGGGTGATACTCAACTTTAGGGTAGCTATGTTATCAAAAAAGTGAATAGCTTGTATCTCCATCAGGCAATAAATGACGGCTTTTCAAGCTAAACCCACTAATAACAGACAAGAAATCAACCGCTACGTGTACTTAGGCCACCACGTGTAATTGGGTCACTACCTACATGTACTTAGGCGGCTACCTACATAACTCCAGGAAGCTTAGCTTTTTCTGATCAACTGTCCTTGATTTGCTCCTAACCGCTATTCAATTCTGTAAGGATAACAGTGGTTGCATCAAGCAAAGTAATTTATGAACTCAATGGTAGCAATCCTATATTAGAATAATCACATGCACAAAAAAAAGTAAAACATGATCAAAAAAGTAACTGTAAATTAATTAAATAAAACTCAATTGGAGATTTAGATAGAGAATCCTACATACCTGCGTCAACAAAAGATGTCAGGCTGCGTGGCATTGTTGACCAACCAACGTCGAGGAGAAGTAAAATGTTCTTAGGCTGCGGCCGCACGGTGGTCTCATACACTCTTAGGTGACGGCCTCGATTCTGACAATCACTGGATGCGCCGTCCGGGTGCAGAGCGTCCACAGATGATGCTGAGTTAAATAAAGATCATAGATCATTCACTTGCTTAAAGAATAAATTTCAGCAGCTAAAATGCTTGTGTAGTTGAGAACCTTTGTATTGTGTCCAGAATCAACCCATGAAGGATGTCAAAAGTTGAAATAGTCAATTTTTCAATTATTTGATTATTTTGATACATGATAAAATTTTTAAATTCAAAAATATAATAACTTTTTTTATGAAACTCACAAGCTGGGCGATGAGCAGGATATTCAGTGAGCAGCCCTGAGCTGGACATGAAATACTGCCAATTGAGTTCAGGAAATTCGGCAGCGTTTGAGAGGAACACTGCAAGGTTGGAGTTCAAATGATAAGGCTTAACAAAATGAGCTTCCAGGCTAAAATCAAAGCAATACCAAAGTTTTTGCAAGATACACACAACAGAACAAAAACTATTCTTCTGAAAAGAACACAGATAATTGTTTTACTTTCAAAAATCATAACTCCAATTTTTTCTGTTAAATGAATGACAATAAATTTAATGAATTTTCACAGCACATACTACGTGTGAGCGTTGCAGAAGGCGGTGAGAAGAAGCCTACAAGAGTAGGATCGCTGCCATCACCAAAGCCAGCATCACACCACACCTCACTATTCACATTGCATCCAAACTTCTCATCATACCTGAAGGCAAAATAAAGGGAGCAGATATCATGAACAAAGAAAAATAGTTACATCATAGAGGAGAGGTAAGCTTTTTTTGTAATTTCAATCAGAACTACTATGAATTCTCTGTTAATTCTTAATGGTAAATCTCCAAAGAGAATATAAAGCATTTTTACATTTTTTGCCAACAACATACATCATAAAACTTCATAACAGATGAAAAGCAGATTATGTATACAAACATGAGAATATGATGAGGTAGGAGGCAACAAGGGTTGTACGTGGTACGAGTGTAGGGGTTCGGCCGAGACTTATTGAGTGCTGCGTCCACCATACGCAAAACAAGCCTTGCATATTTGTCCACTCGTGACTGCAGAGCCTCATGAAGCTGCAAGAACAGAATATTGAACATTTTGCACAACAAAAATACAAAATATTATTCAGGATGAAGAACGAATAAATCTAATTACAGATGTAGACACAGAAATTAGTATTAACACAAAAGTGAAAAGTAGCATTTACAGTAAACCACAATATTTACTGTCCAGTCCACCAGAATATTTATATACATCCTGTTCTGTCAACCATGCTACTACCAAAATCCTATGTGTAGAATTGATTAAAATGGGACTTGTTACAAATGCCATAATGGAACAATTCCAGTGATACATTTTAGATGATGAATAAGAACAAACATTCACTTTTGCAAGCAGATTAAAACCAACCTCGAATTTATGCAAGATAATGTTATGCTCACCAAATTCAAGTGCTGGGTAGCATTCTGATCACCAGATTTGTTGCCTAAATTTCGAGCCTGGAACTTAGCCTGTAATAAAAAGCTGAATTAATTTCACTACAGGTCACTGTCACTCCATTATAAAAACAGACAAAGTTCCTAATAATAATTTTTAATAAATAATAGAAAATGCTCAATAATCCTACTGTTTATGTACTGGGTGTCAAGTGATCAGAATCTGACCTTCAAGCGCGTGACTCCCAGGTCTTTTTCAGCAATCTGCTCAATAACTTTGCCCAGATGCTCAGCAATAGCCATCACAGGTATAGGCTTTTGATGAGTTTGCCAGATCCCATCAGCATTTACAACACTTGAATTTTCATTAAAAGTGTTGTATTTATTTGAGATGACTTCATCAGGAGAAAGAGAAGCGCTGTCATCAGCTTTAACAGAAATTGATCTGGCGTTCCTCAGAGAGAAGTCTACATATTTTTCATTGTATTCATCCAATCCCCACTTCATTTGTTTGTCTTCTTGTGAACTGAAAGTAAATTTTCTTTAAAGATAGGTATTAATATAATTTATTGCACATTTTATTATTTTATTACCTCTTTGTTTTAGGAGATCTTTCTAAATATCTATTCATCAAATTTTGATAAAACCATCCTAATATAGATATATGAGGAAAGTTCATAAATAAATACAACTATTGTCACATATCTTCTCCTATGCAACTTTTCATCAAGTATACACAAAGTTAGTTGATCACATACTGAAATATCATTGGTTGTAGCCAATTTTTTCCATCAAAAAAAGATTTAAAATTCTCTGCTGAGAACCTTTTAATTCCCAAACGCGAGTCAGATTGTATTTCTTCATTGAACTGAACAGAGTGGGAGTATTCCTTGATTCTCTTCTTCTTTTGTACATCAGCTGCAACCAAGCACATGAAGAGAACTTGACAGATGACAACTTTCCTGAAATCAGCCAGAAAATTAATTACAAAGAAGAGATAATATTTTAGTAAAATTCTATGGACTATACTTCATTGTTTCAATATTGAACCAGCTAACTCACACAGTCAGACCAAAATTTTCATTCAAGATGCAATGAGGTTTTGTCACTATTAGTCAGATCAGACTGGTGTATAGCCATTGGTTTATTTGGTTACCTATATCTAGTATATTAGAGAATATGATGCAATTACAGGATGAGACAATAGGTCTCCCAGAGTTCAGGGTACCTTTTCATTTATATTGTTCACTGCTCATAAAAAAGCAACATAAATAGAATATGATAAAAAATATAAAAATTATAGATCATTTTCAAAATAGATCATTTTAATTGGAGGCTGGGGCATACATCATTTATACTACTGTAGCAATTTGAGAGTGATCAATGTTAGAAACTTCCAATTCACTTAGCTATCGAATTACAATTTATAAGCATTTGAATTTCAAGTAATTATAATAAAACTCACCACAGTAGAGCCATGTTTGCAGTTGAAATTTACAATCCAGTTGAACCAGTTAAAACTGTTTTGAAGGTAGGGTACATCGTACCTTACCTTCACACCATAAGGTTCCAAAGCAGTGCATGATAGGTATTTAGAATTTCAACACAGGAGCTACTAGGCCAGTGTGCAACTGTGCATTCCAGCACTGTCAGTCATTTTCACTTGGAGTAGATCCAGCCATGCAATTGCCAGTTTAAGGACTTGCATGTGGCTAGCGACCTAGTGATTTCTGCATTCCTGGAAATTAAACAAATAATTAGAATTCAAAGCTCATATAAACAAGTATGTAAAGACATATGGACATAAAGATATGTAAAGACCTCTCTTTTATTTGTTCTCTGCATCTATTTCTCTGAAGTAATAAACAACTGAGATATTGCAATGCCATAAATACCATATTGGAAAAAGAAATCAGAAAGAAGCCTATTTTTTCACAGACTCAGAGACCAAAAAATGCCAAAAAATTGTGCCTTCTGCATTACTTGTTCTCCAGGCAAAGAACTAACTTTGTACAGCAATCCCTTGATTAACACGGTTAATAAATCCCCGAGTTTTACCATGTTAAGCAAAACCGCGCAAATCTAACTTAAGAATATATAGTCAAATGGGGTAAGACAGGATCGCAGCCTTTATGGGGTAAGAAAGGACCAGCCCATGGTGTGCATTCTAATTGCACTAAATTTAATTCGACAAAAGAATATGTTAGAGCAATCATTGCCTGTCATTTCAGTGTTTGTTTCAACCCTCTTCTGCAAATAATGAATTTCTGGCTAATTTTTAAAGAAAACCTATGTGAAGAAGGGTCACAAAATAGTTAACCCTGTTTAGGAAATAAGCTCTGTCTAATGACAAAAAATTTATTGGCCAGGTTTGTGGATGTAGGCAGGTAACCTCAAGTAATAAGCAACTTTTGAGACATACTTGGCATTCCTACCTGCTACCATCACTGCCTGACATGTATTCTAAAATGGGGTAAAAAAGGACTGGTCATGGGGTAAGACGGGACCACTAAATGATCCTGTTTTACCCCACAAACGGTCCTATCTTACACCACATATGGTCCAGTCTTACCCCACAATTGGTCCTCTATTACCCTACAGTATATCAAAAATAGTTTTTAAATGAATATATTATTATGCAGTAACTGGAGTATTTTGGTCAAAATGTTTATCTTTTGCTCACTCTCACCAAATTTCTTTGAAAATTTCAATCTTGAATAAGGCATTACTGCTAAAATACTGGAGTTTCTTGCAAGTTTCTTGGACTTCTTATTATTGCTAGCAAAAGTAAAGTATAAAATGATAATTAACTATGCCAGCTATATAACATCATCCATATTTTTTGCTCAAAAGACTAAATGGATCATATGGCTGCATTTAATATCAACAAAGTTTTCTCGTGACAAAACCTCCAATGTGATTGATATTAAAGTTGACTTCCCACGACACAAAACAGTAACAAGTGGTTGTTTAATCAAATAATGTGTTTCTAGATGGTAGGGTTGGCGATTTTTTTGATTTTTTTAAAAAAATCAAAAATCAATGATTTTTTTTATTTTTTCATGATTTTTTTTATTTATTTGATTTTTTCATCTTTTTTGTCTTTTTGAAGTGTCATTTTTTTTTTGTTGCAATTAGCCTACTAACAATAACAGTATATGGATCATAATGGATGGCTAAAAAGGCACTTGTTGCCTTCAATAATGGCCAGCAGGCCAAGGTAGTGTTTACCACTTAGGGATTTTTGGGTAAATGATTATTGAAAAGTCTATTCATTAGCTTTGTTAAGTTTGTATGGAGCAAGGTAATGAGCTAAATATTGACCATTTAACTGGCTTCAATATACAAAAACACTTCAGGAATGCAGATCTTCTAAACACTGAAGAGTCACAAAACAGATAGGTAGCTGATAGCACAGTGCACAGCACTATCAATAGATCTACCAGTTTTATGTCCTATAAATCTACCAGACTCTACCCTCTATATACACTGACTAGTAGTGACTGAGTGACTGCACTGTTCCCATTTAATTCAGACCAATAAACCAATACTAAACATAAACTGAACGATAACCAAACAAACCTCATACAACTTGAAATGAGACTTAAGTTATGAGAAAAGCTAACACTGTTTGAAATAAACATGTGCACAATTCAAATATTTTATATCCATTCACTGCATTTAATTATTTTATAAATAGTCTTATAATTGTAATTGTTTTGTTTCTAGTTTTAAATTCACATATTTAAAGATTGAAATAAAATATTTTAATTAGAATACTTGTATTAGGGTGGAAAATCTTTTTAATTGCCTAAAAGGTCAATACAATCTCAACCTCTCAATATACTGGGTGGGGCGGAGCCAATTGAGCAGTTTTCAGGTCAAATAAAAGAGTAATGGAGGTACATAATGAAGAAAGTTTATTATCCTAGAGGTTAGCATAACATACCATTTAGAATACCGTACTTATGTTTTGAAAACAATATCTGGAAGATGGGGGCCGTTAGCTGCAACACACTGTTGGAGTCGTTCTCAGAGGAGGGAGTAACCCTAACAGTGAATTCCAATTGCTATGCTGCAATGTTGCAAAATTTCTTGAAGCCCATGATGGAAAACATTGTTGAAAATGAAGCATAAAGACGTGTGGTTTCAGCAGGATGGGGCTACAGCTCACACAGCCCGAATGTCACTCAAAGTTTTGAAATGCATGTTCCCAGACTCTGAGGGGCGATTTACAGTGGCCTGCGAGGTCACCCGATCTGAGCATTTGCGATTTCTTTCTTTGGGGACATCTAAAAGAAAGGGTGTTCAAAAGTCGCCCTCACACCCTACCACAGCTAAGGGAATGGATTATTGCAGCAGAGGCTATAGCCATACCTCGCCATATGTGTGAACGTGCTGTAGGGAAACTTCCGAGAACTATCCCAACAGTGTGATTCAGCTAACAAACCCCATCTTCCTGATATTGTTTTCAAAACATAAGTATTTTAAATGGTATGTTATGCTAATCTTGAGGAAAATAAATTTTCTTCTTCATGTACCTCCATTACTCTTTTATTTTGCCTCAAAACTGGTCAATCAGTTCTGCCCCACCCTGTATAAGCTAGCTAACACATTTAAATTGTATATTGTAATCAATATATAACAAATAGTCAAATAGGCAAAGACTACTTATTGCCTTATAAAAATTAGCTAAGCTGCTAGCTACGTACAATGTATTGCACACTTGATGCCTCTGTACCAAAAACATTCAATTTATTGGAACCTAATACATACTAAAGGCAACATGTTTATATACCAATTTGTCATTTATAGTACATTTATACTAAACCATGAATAACAATACCTCAATATAAATTAAAGACTGCCACTCAATATATTTAATTATATGAAAAATAAAAAAAATTGAAAAAATCCAAAAAATCATGATTTTTCTATAAAAAAAATCAAGTGATTTAATCACATGATTTAGTCATTTTGATTTAATCATTGCCAACCCTGCTAGATGGATAATATTGAATATCAGATTTGTACTTCTATTAAAAACCTTGTAACATAAAAATTACCAGTTGGTCCTGTCTTACCCCAGCCTGGTCCCATCTTACCCCAATGGGGTAAGATGGGAGTTGGGACCAGCTCACTTTTTTTAATCTGTACAGAAAACTATGTTAGATGCAAAACGTCTGAGTTGTAGCTCAGAAGCCCATTGCATAACTTCACCTTGTGATAGGTTTAGGGTTTTTTAGTTATTCATGGTATAGGTGCTACAGGCTTGTTAGTGATTTCGGTCCTGTCTTACCCCATCTGACTATATGGGAATAATTATAATGAATCCTCAAAAATAGCAAAGTTACATAATAATTTTTTTTTTCACTAAAATTCCTCATATTTTTTTCTAAATAATAGGGGAAATAAATAAAAGAAATGCGAATGAATTAACATTTATTTATCACTGAAAAACAAATCCAATTTCAATTGCACAGTAGATTTCTTTCTCTCCTGCATAATTGCGCGATAGCAATTCACTTGCCTACCCAGGCCAAAGAAAATTATCAAGGAAAATTATGTAGTTTGATAAAAGTGAGCAGTAGATATGGCAGCGATCTTGACCAGTTAAGGTTAACAAGTAACTAGAGCACGGGCATGGCGCACTTACCGGCAAATGCTGCCGAACTCGACCATTCAAGTTATGAACGAGACAAGGCGAGGTTAAACCAACTCTGTAGTCAGTACGAGTGTCTATGGAAGGGGGCCTTATTTAAAGAATTATTTGCTGAAATTCATAAAGTAACAACATTTGGCAAATTTTTCCAAAAGTCGTAACAAAAGTAACAACATAATATCTAATAAGCAAAAAGTAAAACTTTTGTTACAAACGTAACACCTCTGGCTAGAGGCGGGAAAATGATGCGTTGTGAAAAAAAAGTCGTGCTAATCAAAACTGGTACCACGTAGATTAAGGATAGGTCGCAAATTTTTTCCGCGTTAATCAAAACCGCGGTATTCAAAACCGTGCTAATCAAGGGATTGCTGTATATAACTTTCAGTCTTTCACACATGAACTGAAGAAGATGATCAGAACTAAGCATTACATTTACATTGTGAACATTCAATTGTTTGTTAAACTTAAACTAAGTTGAGAAGTCAGTGATCAGAAGATTATTATTAAATTTCAAGTCTCAAGCTAACCTAACCTGAGTCCTGAGTCTGGAGTGGACAAAACTCAACTGCATTAGGTTAAATCAATCATTTAAACTCTGGTCTTTGAGCTTGAGCTGCCTTCAGTTTGAAATTTTCTTAAACCATACCATGGTAACATAGTGGCAAAGCATAGTGTTTTTTAGACTCTCCCTCAAGTTCATTTGTGAGTCCCATAAGTAGACCAGTAAAGCATCCTGGATACCAGCAGTATCATATATAAGAAATTGATTTAAATCTTGGGTAAATGAGGAAATTAAAAATGAACTGATTCTAAAAAAGCTCTGGTTTGCCACTATGCATGGTATTGATGGTAATGATGGTATTATCGTAATTGTCCTTACCATTTTATTTTCTTTGACACTGATAATTAAATAAGGTATTTTAACATAGTCAATCAAAATTCTGATTCAGAATTTTGATTGACTATGTTATAATACCTTATTTTATAATCAGTGTCAAAGAAAATAAAATGGTAAGGACAATTACGATAATACCATCATTACCAATTTACCATGGTATGGTTTAAGAAAATTTCAAACTGAAGGCAGCTCAAGCTCAAAGACCAGAGTTTAAATGATTGATTTAACCTAATGCAGTTGAGTTTTGTCCACTCCAGACTCAGGTTAGGTTAGCTTGAGCCTTGAAATTTAATAATAATCTTCAACGAGACCATCACAGTATCAGAATCAAAAACGGCACGGACATGAGACGCCAACAATTCAACTTGAACTTCAGAGTACAGAAATCTGATATAACAGAATTTGGACTACAGTCTTACAGATAAATGCCAAATGGTTAGTTTAGTAGTTGCTTTTAGAGTTTAGACTTCGGTAACCCTTCTTCGTCTTCCATCCTCCTGTCGCAAATGGAAAGATAACCTAAACTTACGACCAAAACTGTCACCTTTTCAAGAGCGTTACTTACACCATCTTTCGTTTCTGCTCCGCCACTCATACTAGCATCGCACGTATTGACTACCTACTGACTCCTGAAAAAGCTTTTGTTTACACTTTCCGTGCGTCGTATCTTCCTGAACGAATTCAAATCCGTCATTATTTCCTTCATCGATGTTTGGGCGGCAGTTTAAAACATACCTAACATAGTTGAAACGAATAATTCAAATTATTATTATAATTGAATTATATAGTTCTGATTTTCATTTGAGAAATTTGAAGTTGTATTACTCGCCTAATTTCCAACATCAATTCTTTTTGCTTTTTGGAGTTAGGAATTATCGCGGACAGTCGGACACTGGCGTCGAACAGCTGATTAGCCAAGAATTTTTTCAACACGCGGGAGCTCTCGCCGTCTTTTTAGTTTGGGAAATGAGCATTATACTCATAGTTGTACAACTTCTCAAGTAAAAAAAGTCACACTCCCCCAAAATGGCTGAAGCTGCTTTAAGAGAACTAATTGAAATGCTAATGAGTGAGAAGGAAGACGTAAGACTTGGTGCACACCTGACTTTGGCACGTATGTTTATAACTTCATACCTACAAGTTTTGATTATTATCAGTCCAAAATCAAAAAACAAAATTTATGCCTTTAGAATTGATATTACAAATAATGTTGCTGTACCTTTTAAAATTAAATAGCTATTAGAATTTTATTAGTTGTCTGTCAAAAATTTTTTGCATCTAAGAAGCTTTTTCAGTTAACAGAAAATTGGCTTCTTGTTATGTAATTGCTATGAACTTAAGAAGTGCCTGATGACAAGGCTATGAAAAAAACTTGGCCTTGCAGCTTTTTTGGAATATTGAAGCAGTTTTTTACCTCGTTAATTGCTCAAAATGAACCATTTGAAATTATTTTATGTTTATTCTCTATATTGTAGCTAATGTATCAAAATTTTATTTTCAATTACTGATGTTAATAATTTTTTCAGAACTGAGTGGAACATCTGAGGGAGCTCTGCTTGTTGGCCAATGTTCCAGCATCATGAATTTGGTTATTGGATCTTTAGTTACCATCTCCCCTGAAGATTCATCTCAGCTGCTCCCTACAGTTCTTACACTGCTCACCAATATTGCAGTGACACCTGCTGGTGCCAAAGCAGTGTTATCACACTTGAAAACAATGCTGCCTTCAGTACTCAAGGTTTCCACATTTCATAGTAGCCTATTCTTTTATTTATTTATTTAATTTTTATTATTTTAATGTTGAGTAGTTAGCTTCATATTTTAATTTTGAAAGGTAATTAGCCTATATATATTTCATTTTTGCACTTCTATAGGTAGTTAATGTATTTAGCCAATTTCAAAATAACCTGAAAGAACCAAATATAAAATATTGAAATAATTTCAAAATAACCTTTTAATCTCTGTTTTGTGCAAAAAAAAAAACATTCATTTTAGGTAGAATTCTATGGAAACATTCAACATTTAAATTGCAAATTTACTTTACTATCAAATGACTTTATCTAAAACTAAATATAGTGCATTGAGTTCATTGAAAATAAAGTATGAAACAGCATCCACATAAGTATATTATTGTAGATTTTCTGACACACTGTATCTCTGCTCACAGATCTGGAACTTGTTATCAGTTAATTAGCCAAAAAGTAGAATGATGAAAATTGTACTCTAATTGTCTAAAAAAAAAAAAGGAAAATAATTGTCAGGCTGTTTCAAATTTGACATGGCAAATTACTTCAAAAAATAAAATAAAGGAAAAAGACACCAATTGCATGTACCTCATTGAATCCTGTATATAACTAATGAAACTTGGAATATCTTTAATCCTTGAAATATGATTTTGCAGTTACCATACCTAATTATATTAATTCATATATGAATTAATATCATTTGCTCCATACTGCAGCAACAATGATTGTTGCATAGATTTTGAAGGGAAAAAAGCTATTAAAATAAAGGAGTAATGGATAAATGGACTCATCTTAAGTCTAACATGTGTCTAAAATTTCTTTGGAACTTTTCATGTTTTATAGATATATATTTTTTCCTGCACTGTATTTTATTGTAATGCAACTTTAGTGTAATATACATAAAACATGATCCAGTGTTTTAGTTGTTTGAATATTTTATTTTCATACCTGTGTACTGTCATATGCATCATCATGCTCTCAATAATATGAAGGCTGCACCTCCTATAGTTGAGTAGGTATTTGAGCACTTTTTTTTTCTTCATGCAATTTTAGGGAAAAATAGGAATGGGCTACCAATTAAAACTCAGAGCATCTATATAATTCATTTGCATGAATTTAGTAAATGATTCATATATTTCATGCAAGGAATATTTAGTTCTATGAATTATTTTAGCTCTATGTCAAATTATGAAGATTGATTAGTAACGAAATTTAATTTCCTATGTTGGCTATGTACGTAAAATATATAATTATCTGTTGTATGAATTTCAATCAGCAATTTCCATTAATACTTGCAGTTAATCACAGAGCCTAAGAGTCGACATGCTGATCGAGCTTGTGCTTTGCTGGTGAACATCACGCACCAAAAGGAGCATTGCCAGGCAGTACTGCAGTGTGTGCAAGAGACCAGCAGCTCCGCGCTACACACCTTGCTCCTAGCAGCGACCAACACCTCCTACAACACCGCCGACAACTCCTTAGACCTCCTCATGTCTGTCTTTGAAAATATCTCTCAGCTCCCTGAGGGAAGGAAGTGAGTAAAGATATTATTTATAAATAGCTTTTAACTAAGCAATAGAGTAATCTAGGGGTGATTATTTATGAATTACTTTGGCCCAAACGATGAAACAACTCACGTGAGTATTTATGAATTGCTTTTACCGAAATAACAAAGTAAAAGGAGTATTTATCAATTGCTTTCACTGTGGGAAGGAGTTAAATAAAGAAGAGAGCATTTAAAAATTGCTTTGCTGGGATAAAATGATTGAGGACAGTATTCATGAATTGCTCTGTAGTGACAAAAGTAGTGTAGCGTAAATTTATTCTACATACAAAATTTAAGATGAAATGTGTAGCACTATTTGAAAGATCTAACTTAATAATATTGTCATCAATTTGACCGTGGAAACATGATCGTTCATACTTGCTCTATGTACTGTATGTACTGAATGGTGAAACTGGAATATTTGAATAATTAATCTACACAGCCGATTATTTGTATTACAAAAAACATTTGTCTAATAACTTATTTTAGAAGTTTGATAAATTCTATTTCCCTTATGTGTTTTACATTTTAAATCGAAAGGAATAAACTCCTGTTGGCAAATTTGCACTTGTAGTTGTATTCAGTTTTTGCCTTGCAGAGCATTGCTTGATCGCAAAAGTGTGATGATCCAACGGCTGCTTCCTTTCACGCAGTACATGGCCTCCACTTCCAGACGAAGATCAGCTGTTGCCACGCTGCATAACTGCTGCTTCCAGAAGGGTGAATAAGTTAACTTCGCTAGCAGTAGCTAAGACTAAACACTACTGTATAATTTATGTCCATTTATATTATTTTTTGAGTGTTGTTTTGCTGCATTTCCGCAAATAAGAGCCATCTTTGAAATATCTCTAGTTGGTGTGAGTTGAATTTCTGGCACTCTTTTGCTGAACATGATTTTCGTTATAATTGTAAAGGGTTCCTAAATGCAAATATTTTACCACATATTTAAAGTTTCTAAACACAAATATTTACCACATAGTTACGGTTCCTAAACACAGATATTTACCACATATTTATTGTTCCTAAACACAAATATTTACCACATATTTAGGGTTCCTAAACACAAATATTTACCACATATTTAGGGTTCCTAAACACAAATATTTTCTGACTGTCAGAATGAGATTTTGCATCGCAATTGTACCGCTGAGATCTAAAATCAAAGTCAAAATAAACATCAAAAATTGTTTGAATATCATCTGAAAGTATTTGTTGTCATTTATGTCTTCTAACACATCACAAGTTTAAGGATTATTTATTTAAATTATCGTCAATGCCACTAACTTTGCCACTTATGCCGCCGGCCTTCAAAAGAAACTATCTATTTGTTAACAAAACGGAGCCATAACTTTCTAGCCCGATCGAAAAAGCTTTCGAAACCTACAAATCGTGAAACTGGCAATCGAAACCTATATATAAATCGTAATTGTGACCAGTATTACACGGTTTTGATGTATGAGCGGCTAATTAAGTGCACTTATTTGTCGTTGACAGTAGATGTAAACCTCCACATTATTTTATATTACTATAAGATAGCGGAATAAGCTTTTTTAAACACGAGTGGTTAATGACCAGAGAAATCATTGATTTAAATTTTCAGGATCTAATTTTCTTCAGTGGACGTTGGTTGATAAAAATTCAGGTTCAAGGAAGTAATTTAATTTATTAACGACGTTTCGAATGTGACATTCACAGTGAGAGTTGTTGTCAAGGGTGTCAGGGAGCCTGTTGAATTCATCACGGATCATGAGATGAAGTTGCTCGATGGTAAGACTTTGAGACCTGCAGGTCTGGTTGCGAAATTGTCTCAGGTGGCAGGAAAAACAGCTGCTCAATGTCGATGAAAATTTAAATCAATGATTTCTCTGGTCATTAACCACTCGTGTTTAAATTATTTTATATGTACAGTTATTCTATATTATTACTCTAATGATGGCAGCTGTGCGCTACAAGCACCAGCAGAGAGCGGCTCCGCAAGCTCAATATTTATCTCGTGCTCCGTGAGCTCCACAAATGGGAAACGAATGAACCCTGCCTGACGCTCCTCGAAGACCTGGTTAACATTTTAATCAGGTGAGTCTGCTTCTAGATAGTTTTTCGACTGGATCACCAAGTGAGGCAATTAGTTGGAGGGAACCAAAAAAATTTAATTTGGAAAATAATATCTAATTAGCATTGTAACAAGATTGACGTTTTTGTTTAAACTGACCACTTAATTAAAAAGCCCTTATTCTTACGTTATGTAGTTTTAGACAGATTTATTCGTAGATGGTATTATTTAGTGATAATTTTTTAATTTTTGCATTCTGCTAGCCAAATTTCTTTGCATNATTTCAATTAGATAAGCTACTGGAGATCATTTACTACCCTTACTACTATTTGCTACTCTTTACTGAAATCATGCTATTCTAAGTGGTTGAAGGTATTTTTTGTCTTTTTCAACTTATCATTCTGAAAAGATTGAATGAATTTTCCCTTCTTTTTTGAGCTAATTAGAATAGTTACAGGATTCTTTTCTGTCCTTGACAGAACTGAGGAGGAAATCGGAGTTGATGACCTCAGCTCCATGGAAATCCCCGAAGACTTGCGGAAGAAATTCGAGGACCTGAACAAACAGAATGAAGACGACCCAATACCGGCGCCGAGCAAGAGTGAATAAAGCTTACCGTGATAATATTTTCTTTAATTTATTTAGTAATAATCCTTCTGACTACGTCAAAGGTTGGAGACTAGGAAATAGGGACTAATATGTATTAGAAAACAATGAAATAAAAAATTTAGTTTAAGACTAAACAAATACTTATCTACGTTATCGTTAACTATCGACTAAAGGTTGCTCTAAAATATGATTTTTTTACAGGAAATACCATACGAGGCTGAAAAAACCTTATAGATTAGCTCAAACATTGTCGTTGGTGTAGATCGCAATTCTTGTATCAGGCCGCAATATAGTAGGGCGGAGAGTGAGATCGCACTTGTAGCGGTTCTCAGTGAACCAGTTCTTGATGGCCTGCCAGTGAGGCTTGGTGCACACAAAAGTCAACAACCCCACAAATGCTGCAAGCAAAATAATACACACAGTTAACAGAGCTGTAAATCCTGCAGTGCTGCAATGTAAATTCACGAGAGGTGGCGGCTCGTCTTGAGGGTTGCAATATGGCGTCCACCAGACGTCGTCTCCTCGCAGATACATCGTCATCTGGAACACGCCGATGGACTCCTTGAAAGATGAGCACAACTCCTCAGCAGCGCTGGCGAAACACTTTACTTTCTGTACCAAATTATCATCTAACTTTAATATTAAACCCAACTTTTCATCGACTTTCACCATAAATTCACTCCAGCGGGTCAGCTCACCATTCCACTTATCATCGAAGGAAGCAGTCATGACAACGCGTAACGTCGGATTGAACCTCACTTCGAACTCTATATGGAAAGCACTTCTAGAATAAATATAGAACCGATATTCTTGGTATTGACTGAATGTCGCGGCATAACAAGCAGACGTGTCGTTGGCGCCATGAAGAGCTCGTAATGAGAAGGTAGGACAGTCGGCCAGGTCCTGTGTGTGGTAAGTGCAAGACGACACAAACGGCACGGCAGGGGGAGCTTGCGATGCTGCCTCTGACGCCAGCAGTACAACCAGGAGTGTAAAGCCACTGTGTAAACTAAAATGTAAAGCATTGTTGTAGTGTAAGGAGTGTAAACCGACCTTAGCCATCGTGTAAAGCATTGTTGGCGAGGAGTGCTGGCAGGGATTTCCGGTTAATTCGCACTACAGTTAAAAAAAAAACATTAAGGTACATGATATTAAAACGGGTCTATCTTCTTGTGTGCCTGAGGAATATTCCCGTGTTATACTGAGTGTCAGTGTTTTGAACTTGATTGACTTATCCACCTCACAATTTTAAGACCGTTGCTGTACATGGCCGTGGAAAAATGGATTGTATTTTGCTTCTTGTATCTGGAAGGCTGAAATCACGTTTGGGACAATATTAGAGTTTCAGGGGCTTCTTCTCACTGCCTCACACGCCGTGAAATCGTCCAGGAAGCGGTGAGATGATCTGCCAAATAAGAAATAATTAGAACGAGTAGAAAAATGATTGGACCACTGCCCAGAAGTGGGACACAGTATTCTCAGGATCACGAACGAACAATGAACGAACACATTGCAATCTCCATGTAGAGAACCAAACTGTAAGCATCGTAAGCCTGCCGTGTACATTCTACTAATTATTCTGCTGAAACCTCCAATCCAGATATTTGTTTGCGAACAGTAAACACAATCTGCCGTTTCCGCTTCAAATAATTTTCAGCTTTGTATCCAGATGTAATGTTTCATGAACTTTTAGAATTTTTTTCCTGAAAACGTTCATAACTCTATAGTACGCATTAGTAAAATAGACCAAGAGCATATGACGGGAAGCTATCACTCACCGGAAGTCACAAGATAAACTACACCAAGGTTAGAACTAATGTCTCAATCCTGACAATTTTTTTTATACTAACATAATGGGCCACTACCAATGGGAAGGAGATTTTAAATATACTGTGGGCTGAAGCTGACGATGAAAAAATGACACTGTCAAGTTGTCAACTATGCCGCACGAAAAGGAGTCTAGTGAACTGTAACGATAATGTTCGTAAAAAATATCGTTTGTTTGTAACTTTTATAACGAAACATACTATAATCTGCCATTTCAATCAAAAGGAAAAAGTGACAAGCTAATTCCCCATATTTTCAATATAAATAATTCGGTGGATATTCGAGTAATTTTTTCACTTTTAAACAGTACAAACAATTACAAATTAAACTGGGATTTGACATAGATCGGGTGAGTAAGCGCTTATGTTGGAGATGTGCTTTGAAGCATTTATTATTAGCAAATTTGAAGTTAGGCAGCTTATCGTAGCGGGACTTACAGCTTTATTGAAGAAATTGAAACGTGCGGCAGGTTATAACGGTTCATCGTTGAGATTTGTGGGTTGTCATCAGTAATTTGTATGGGGTTTCGTCGTTAAGGTTTTATGGGGTTTCATCAATAACGTTACATGGGGTTTCATCAGTAAGGTTTTATGGGGTTTCATCGATAAGCCTGGTAACATGGGGTTCCATCAGTTAGGTTTTATGGGATTTCATCAATAAGGTTACATGGGGTTTCATCAGTAAGGTTTTATTCGTTCTATCGTTAAGGATGCTTACCGTTAAATAAAGTTCCAGTTCGTCTGCGATGACGCGTTACTGGTTCGTGATTCCTGTTTTCATATTTCAGTCACATGCATCCACAGTGTCCACTGTCCAAGTGAGTCACGGCGAACCACGAAGCCAGCTAACTGAATACATTGACCTGCATCCTCAGCGAATATTTTACGTATATATAATAAAATATCATATTTTCACAATATATTACGAAACAAACTAGACTGCGCTGAGCCGCTGACACGTGCATCGGACGACAGGATATTTCTTCATCCGACTCGAGCAGATTAAGGTGAAAAGTTTAATTACTTTAATTAATTAATTTAAAAATAACTTGAATCTGTAATAAAACACTGAAGTCCTAGTACCATTCAAACAAAAATATTTACGAGTGTAAGCACCATCAGCCAGTCACTCATGTTTTTTTCAATCAGAACCTACAGATGAGCAATTGGATGCTACGTGCACTTAGGCTGCAATAAGTATCTAAACCGGTCCGTGTACTTAAACGAGTTTTGATAGTACTTTAGTATAGTATCTTCGGCATTGAAGAATAGGCCTGTCGCCGATTCTTGTACTTTTCTTGGCTAGACTCGCCTT